GGAATGTAAATACAGACATAGAACCTGCTCACAAATTAGAGATGGCCGTGGAGCTAATTTCTTTTATATAATAATATAAATATTGTGTTTTTGGAAGGGGAGTCTTTCTGATTTTTTTATTTTTTTATTTTTGCAAAGAATGGAAGTCTCTTGCAGTGACATTAGAACTGCTTGATACATTAGGAGTTTAATATTTATGATGGTATCATTTAATCTAAATAACAAGCTTTTGTTGGAAAGAAAAATATTTTGCTTTCCTGTATATTATCAGCACTGTTAACTTTTGCAGTTGTCTTTTTTCCTTTTGGGATGGGAGAGGCATTTTTGACCACCTTATTTTAGGCCTTATGTTTAATACAATTGTTCTAAATCTGAGTTTTATGTAAATATATAATATTTAAGTTCCAGACTGCAAAGAAAAGTAGGGCAAATACATTCCTGCAAATATGTTTATGATGTGTTTAAACATATTTAAACTTTAAATTCTAGTTGCCCTACATAAATATTTGCACACAACTTATGGACATGCAGAGAACAGAAATATGTGGACTTTCTAAAAGATAGATAACATTAATAGAACCATGCCTGGTTTGTGACAACTATGCTATCTGTTCTCTCTCTCAACATTTAACAGAAAACCACATTTAACTTTCTTATATATCATCTATTTAACTTTCTTATATCTCATCTTCCTTTCTCCCTCCCTCTCTTCCTCCCTCCCTTCGTTTTTCTCATTCATTATTTATTTTTAAAAGTTTTCTTATTTCTTTGTGACACATTTCCAAAGAAACAAAAACATCCTGAAACTTCCAATTAGAATAATAGCACAATAGCAGAAACAAAGCACATGATAATAATAAAATAGCATTTGACTGAAAGCAAAAAAAAAAAAAAAGGCAACCACAATATATGAAGAAGATGTAAGCTCCTCCCTTCTCCATTAGGATAAGACATTCATGGGTTGGGAGTGTTAGTGATTGGGGACAAACCCCCAAACAGAATGTGCAGCAGCAGT